TTTTCTACCCTTTCGACTATTTTTTTTTAGTAAAAACGTTTCTTGTAGTGGGTACTATTGTAAAAAACATACCTGTAGTGTGTGTGTCACCTGTGAATCCTGCGAAGTTTGGGCCACAGTGACGCGAGTCTTCAGACCAACAGGTGGCAGCAGAGAGCACTGGGTCCACTCCCCATCAGATCACAGCAGCAGAACCTGGATCAGGACCAGAAAACCAGTTTATTGTCTTGCTTTTTTTAGACTGTGGCTTTTTACAGAGATTTTAGGTCTGGTTAAATAATGGACAAATCATAAACAGAACATGAGCACTCTCTTATACTCTAAATCATCACACAAAACTATTAAAGACCATACGGATCCATCCCTGTATGACAAAGTTAACCATTTTCTGGGGAAAGATGACCAATATTTCCTTCAGACACCAACCTTCCATAATCACTCACTGCTAATTAAAAAAAATAAACAATCATCTCTTTTTCACCCTGGGAGCACAAAGGGGAGTTGACTTCAGTGATTTCATAGACCAGAATGGATTAAGGGAGTTTAACACTTGAATACAAATTTGATCTTGAAAAGAAACAATAATTCTGATGATTTTTTTAACCTTCAGTGAAAACAAAACAAAAATAATCAATAAACTAACTATGCCTATTCATGATAATATAATACCTGATACAAAGCAAATCTAAAAGTATCTGGTCAGTCAAGGATCTTTTCACATTTTATGACAAAAATCTAAATTCCAATATTTATTTTCTCGTTTTACTTTTATTTTACGTTGGCCAGCTCACCGGGGTTTTCTTCTTTGTTACTTTGTTTTGTTATTTTTGGACACGGGTTTAGGGTTTTGTTTTTATTTCCTCACCAACATATAAAATCAGAAATAAATAAAAACGTCTTTAATTCTTAACTTTGTGTCCATGTGCTTCGTAAATATGTTGTGATTCATTTTGGGTTGTAACATCTCCAATGATTCTTTTTTCTTTTCTTTTTTATTTTAGAGCCAGTTCCCTCTAAACATATAACATTCAATTTGATTTTTAAAAATAGACAAAGGTGTTTGATTATTTCACAGAAAATTTTCATCCAAACATTCGTTCAGTAATTTCAAAGATTGTTTTCCTTAATGTAAATAACCACTATTTCAGATTCAAGTCCTGGAAATACACGCAATATCGGGCCTTTTATTACTCATAAAATGCCTAATTTCCATGTGATATTAATTTAGATTTTTTAAAAATGTGCAATAAACGTGTGTCTTATATTTATATCGGAAATACACATAGTTTCAATGTGATATTTTCATTTTTTTCTGTGAACCAACAGTGTCTCGTGAAAACCTTTTCTAATATAATCTCTTTAACCTGTTCAGTCAATTATTGAGCCACAGTTAATACGTGATACGTGGCGCCGCCCAGTGGTTGGTGTTGGTTTTCCACCACTGAAGCCTCTGTATGGAGATAAGAAAAGAAAATTAGATTATAATTATTTATCTGGTTGTTTGTAGGCATATATTCTAAATCAGTAACCTTTTGTGTGTGTGGGGGGGGGGACTTATTCCCAAAAGAGTGGTACATTTATTAATTACAGTTACAGTTTTGTTCTTTTTCACACTAGTGTCACTTTGTCGTTCATAAACAGCGTATCTACTGATAAATGGCCGCCATCTTTCTGAAGTGAACAGATATTGGACATGAGTTTAAATTCCTTTATCCCTAAAACGCAGCACGATGAACACGGACAAACGATCACAAAATGAGTAAAAACATCGTACGTGTCGGTGAATACGCTCTGAGCTCAAGTTTAAACACTTTAAAACTAAATATATGAGGTAAAAGCGGGAGTTGATTTTACCATGTTTTTTATAAATTACTATTTATTACTATTATTTCTATTGTTTACCTTTCAAACTTTAATGTTGTATCACTCCCAGTTTTCCTTTCTTTTCTTTTTTTTTTAACTGTCCATAAAGTATTGCCAAGTAAGATTTATTAACAAACTGCTGTTTTAATAGTTTTAATAAGTAAAATTATAAATCCAAACATGAATCTAATTCTCGGCTCAGTACAGTGAGCTCAGTTCTAAACCTCCACAGCGCCCCCTCCTGACACAACAGGGGTAGAACAGGATCAAGTAAACACGAGCACTTACAGCACTATTATACTATTATTATTCTATCTACGCTCACTCCTCTGCGAACAGAAAACATTTTTGTGACTTCACAGCTCTTTTATGCTGCACAGTGTTGGCTGCAGATCATTTATACTTAGATGAATATTTAATTTTATGTTATATAAAGTGTTAATTCAAACTCACAAAAGCTTATATTTAAATCATTCATAATAAAAAATAAATAAAAATACAGTTGGCTTGAAAAGTTATTATGTTTGAATATTTTTATCTCATGTGTTGAACTTTGAACTGTCGTCTGATTATTTGACTGACCAATAAAAGTTCGTGATTGGCTGAGCGGGTGTGTTCCTCTTTAATATGCGTGTTGTGCGCCATAGTTTAAGAATGTACTGTGGTATTTTCTCTTATTGATTAAGAGGCTGTGCGCCATCTGTTCTACTCTAAATGCATCTTCATTGTTGTTATTTTTTTCATGGAACGATTATTCTGCCGTTTCTGGAGTTCGGATATGGACGAAGCTGAAAAACATCTTGCGGTGAGATGAACTAATCAGGTGCGTAGAATTCCGCATTTTTTTACACACATCTTCACTGAAATTTGCCAGAGAATATTTCCAGGGCTTGTTATTGAGGATTGTAAAACATATGTGCGTAATCCGAGACTGAGCGCATGTATTTGCACGAATATTAGAGTGGGACCGTATCAAGTGAATTACAATTTACGATACATTTATTATGACAATGACCCGATCATGAGCATCACCAGAAATGATATTAAACATGAAGAAATACGTGCTGCAGATCATTTTAAATAAACGCCACACGAAGCAGTTGATTCATTGATGTTACTGTTGTTGTTAAACTGGATTATTGACTTTTTGTTTTTTCTAGCCTGACTTCAACTGGTGACGGAAAAAACATCATGGCAACTCCTGGTAAGAGTCCAGTCCACAAGGATTCATCTGCTCCTCTGTCCCTCTCTTCCTCTGTCCCTCTCTTCCTCTCCTCTGTCCCTCTCTTCTTCTCCTCTGTCCCTCTCTTCCTCTGTCCCTCTCTTCTTTCATTGGGGCGACTCTGTGATCTGTGACTCATCTGAGTCTTGTAATATTTGGATATAAACTCCATTCATTCTGTGAAGAAAACCATCTGTCATTTTGTGTTTAGAAGATTTAACAGATCAGTGTTAGAATCTCCAAACAATGAAAACAGTTTTGTTTTTGCTCAGAGATTTTCTTCACTGTAAAGATTCTATGGAGCAGTGACAACACAGATCTAGATCTCTGTACTTTTTACTTTTACAGCCTCATATTTGTCTTTTACAGCTCATCGTCTGTGGCCTGACTTTAGGTCTGAGATTCTTCCACCAAACTGTGAGTTTTCTTACACATTTGTGTCACGTAAACATTTTTCAAAAATCTAAATATGTGAATGAAAATCTGCGTCTTGTTACAAATAAATGTCACTATAAAGAAATTTGGCCATGAGTGAATCAAACTGTTTGACAACATAACTTAAAGTCGTGCTTTATTATTGTGTAAAAATAATAATAATCTGCTCCATCAGCCCCTTTGACTCCCACAAACACTCACACATCACATTCAGACGAGGAAAACACAGGTGAAGTATTTTACTAAAGCACAGAACTTGATCCTCCAACCTTCAGGTAGAAGAACCACTGCTCTCACCTTTGAGCCACTGCCCATGTTTGGTGGGATAATGTCTATGGAAAATATTCAGTTTTCAATCAGACATAAATAAAATTACAGTTTGTGAAGTTTAAAAATAGTAACACAGAGTTCTAAAAAAAAAAGAATCCCTCTATGTGATCAATACACACAAGAAACACACATTTCTGACATTTAATTAAGAGAAAAGGGGCTGACATAAAAATCAAACAAACATTAAAACGTCAGTATTTTGCAAATTAGACAAGCTTTGGCCCTTGTTTACAGTGTGGTTGCTAGGCAACAGTTATTATTATTGATTTACATCTCTGTATGTCACATCTCAATAACAATAAAGTAAAATTGTAAACTAAAATATAAACTATAATGCACTTTAAAGTTTTGTATAGAGTCAGTCACAGCCGTTTATCTTCAGATTCAGAAATCGTTGCTCTCAAACATCTCTGTATCACTCAGAGACTTTATATGATCTTTGTTATTGATTAACACATTAACATTAAACATATTCCACAGAATGATTATTCCACCTGTCAGTCTCTTCCATCAGAAGTCAGGCTGAGAAAGATTACAGAGCCTTTTATAGAATCCTAAAATGAACCAACAGAAGTGTCCAGAGTGTCTAAGATTTACCCACATGTTCTTTATCACCACTGAGAAAGAAAAGCACGAAGAGCAAATTATACATTCATTTGTTTTAATCAATTCACTGTGAGGGTCTGAGCTGAGGCTGGTTCTTCTGGGGAACAACTGGTGTCTGAAGGACTCAGTTGGAAAACGCCTTTTGGGAAACACAATGTTCAATCTGTTCACTCAACATGATAAATGTATAAAAGTCAGTGGAACATTTCAGGACAAACCAGTGACTGTGATCTACACTCCAGACCTGCTGTTCTCCAACATCTCACAACAAAAACTCCAACAGTTTATACAAGACATTAAAGATCTGAGTGCTCCTGGTCCTCATGTGTTCCTGCTGCTTCTACAGCCTGAAAACTTCACTGAGGAACACAAAAACAGACTACAGTCAGTCCTGGAGAGACTCAGTGATCAGACCTTCAACCATTCACTGGTGCTGACGATGGACAACTGGTTATAAACTTAGACATGAGAAGAGCCACATATAAGAGACATGATCAGCAGATGTAGAGGACAGACACCTGCACATAAAGTACTAGTGATATATATGGAATTTAAACGTAAAGAGCTGTTCTCAAAAATCTGTGACATTTTGAAAAATAACAAAGGAGATCATTTGACCTTTGACCCCTCTGAGGAGGAAGACACAGGTCTGACTTTGATTAAGTTTATCATCATTAAACAAACAGTTTCCCATATTACATTTCTACTTCAGAACAGGTGTGTGATGTGCAGAAGTCTGTAAAATGTGTCGTGTTTTGCAGGTTTGAGGATCACTTTGATCGGTAAAACTGGCAGTGGAAAGAGCTCCTCAGGAAACACCATTTTAGGAATAACGGCGTTTACAGCAAATGAAAGTCAACTCCCAGTCACCAAAGTTTGTCAGAAAGAAGAAACTACATTTGATGGACGTCGTGTTGCTGTGGTGGACACTCCTGGACTGTTCGATACAAACATGACACATGATGAAGTTGATGTGGAAAGGTTCAAATGCATCAGTTTGCTGGATCCAGGGCCACACGTCTTTCTGTTGGTGCTTCAGTTTGGAAGATTCACACAAGAAGAAAGAAATGCTGTAGAACTGATCAAAAAAGCATTTGGTGAAGGAGTAGTAAAGTTTATGATCATTCTGTTCACACACGGAGATCAGCTGGAAGGAATCTAAGACGTCTATAGAGGAATTTACTAAAGAATGTGACGATACCTTTAAGCAGCTGCTCAAAGAATGTGAAAACAGGTTTCATGTGTTTAACAACTGTGACATGGAAAACCGCACTCAGGTCAAAGAGCTGCTGCAAGAAGATCGATGAGATGGTGAAGAAGAACGGAGGAGAAGACTGTTACACCAACGACATGTTACTAAAGGCCGAAGCGGCCACTAAGAGAGAGATGGAGAGAAAAATAAAAGAGATGGAGAGAAAAATGGAGAAAATGGAGAGGAAAAATTGAGGAAATAGTAAAAAAAGTGGAGAAAATTAAGGGTAAAGAGTGAGAGAGAAAAGGAGGAGAGGAGAGAAAGCCAGAAGATGTAGAAAGGAAGGGAGGAGAGAACAGAGGGAGATGAGGAGAGAAAAGGAGGAGAGAGAAAAGAGATAGAGGGAGAGAGAAAGGGAGGAGATGAAGAGAGAAAATGATTAGATGGAGAGAAAAGGGAGATGTGTTATGGAGAATGGATTTTTATTTGGTTTTATTGTGTTTTATTGATCTCTGTTCTATCCTTCCATCCATCCATTTTCGTCCGCTTATCCGGGGTCGGGTCGCGGGGGCAGCAGCCTAAACAGGGACTCCCAGACTTCCTTCACCCCAGACACGTCCTCCAGCTCCTCCGGGGGAACCCCGAGGTGTTCCCCAGTCCAGTGCAGAGACATAGTCCCTCCAGCGTGTCCTGGGTCTTCCCTGGGGCCTCCTCCCGGTGGGACATGCCCAGAACACCTCCTGAGGGAGACGTCCAGGAGGCATCCGGAACAGATGCCCGAGCCTCAACTGGCTCCTCTCGACGTGGAGGAGCAGCGGCTCTACTCCGAGCTCCTCCCGTGTGACTGAGCTCCTCACCCTATCTCTAAGGGAGACGCCCAGACACCCTGCGGAGGAAACTCATTTCGAGCACTTGTATCCGCGATCTCGTCCCATCTCGGTCACTACCCAGAGCTCATGACCATGTTCTATCCTTGCCTGTTTTTTATTTTCCTGAGCAGCCAGACCTTTTTACATTCTCTTCAAGTCCAGGAGGGTTTGGAATTGGATCACAGAGTATGAAAAACCTCTGTCCAAAGACAGAGGTTTGAGACAATTCAACTGAAAATTGAACTGAACATTCAGAATAAAATATATAACTTGTTTCACGTGAAAGAATATATATAATGAATATGTGAAAGAATTTCTGTGTTATTTTAAATATTATGAATCATTTAAAATCATAATCATTTGTGTGTGTGATTAAAGTTATCAACAATTGTGTTTTAGGGTTTTTCCATATGTTTATCATATGTCCTAGTACAAGAACTGCTGACTCATTAAACTCATCTACTGAGTCGCCCATGAGAAGACAACTAAGGGTTTTTCCCTCATGTGGTTTGCATAAGTTTTTGGGAGAAAACTGACCTGAATTGTTTATCACCTGGAGCCTGTGATCAAGTGTGAAATGGGAGGTGGTTTAGCCTAAAGATTGTTAGTATGTGATCACTGTAACCATCGTGTGATATAACATAATGTACTGTACTGTATCTGTGAAATGACTGTAATAAAACCTGCTGCTTGGGAGGAGAGCTGGTCGAGGAGGGTCAGCCAGTGTTATGGACAGCTCTCCTTGCGCAAGTATTAATTTTAACCTTCTCGTTTTGGTGTGTCTTTATTTAATGTATTTTGATGTCTTTTGGGTAAAATTCCCTGACACTCTCCTTTCACGGTGGTTGGTCTCTCACCCTCATTCAGCTCGGTTCCTCTACCAGAGTCTGGGAGCCTGAGAGTATCTTCAGTATCTTTGCTGTTCCAGTACTGCACTTTTCTAGACTGAGATGTCTGTTGTTTTTCCAGTTTGGGGGTTACAGCCCCGAGTGTCCGATCACCACAGGCTCCACTGACGTCTTCACCTTCCAGAGCTTCTCCAGCTCCTCCTTGAGCCCCTGGTATTTCTCTAGTTTCTCATGTTCCTTTTCCTGATATTTCCATCTCTTGGTCAGTCTTACGGGTTCTGCAGTCGCGGGCGACTGTTTCGGTCAACCAGGAGTTGGTGTTTGGCTCCTCTGGTGTTTTTGCCGATGCCCTTCTGTGCTGCACTGCACTCATGTATTGATCCATGTGCCACTTATCTTAGCCACGATGATGCCTGACATGAGCTTCCCTATGTTGTGGAGAGACAGGTTATTGGCCGATTTGGATGGGACTGTGCCCTATATATTGTGCCCATATATATATATGAACAGCAGGCTGGACTGGAAGGACAACAGTAACACTGTGTACAAGAAGAACATGAGGAGACTCTACTTCCTGAGAAAGCTCAGGTCTTTTAGTGTGTGCAGAAGGTTACTGGAGATCTTCTCCCAGTCTGTGGAGGCCAGTGTCTGTACTTTGCTGGTGGTCGCCTGGGGGAGCGGCACCAGGAAAAGGGACATTGGGCGGATTGAACAAACTGATCTGTAAAGCTGGTCACGTAGTCAACTGTGAGCTGGAGAGCATTTGTCAAAGACGTGGTGGCTGTTTATATCTATGCACAGTAACAAGCTGCACTGAGCCAAGACGTGTCAGTGTTTCTCATTAACACCGGAGACTGTGGTGTCCCCCATAGTCTAAAATTCTCCATCATAATCTAAAAACAACCTGAACTACACTGACATAATAAAATTAGATCTGTTGCTCATTGTATTATCATAAAAGAGACACTGGTAAAAAACAACTGCTTAAAGATTAAAAATTGTCAATAAGTGATATTTCTACTCTACAAATTGAATAAGATTAAATTATTTAAATTGAAATTATTTGCATCCATAATCTTCACCAAATCTATGGGAAACACTGGTATCTAAACTGAGACCAATCAGAAAAACATGATTGGAGAGGACCTGATCTGCTGTTGGTGATGCAACCGAATCTGAACGACTATATTTTAACCCCTTGTTACTGTGCATATTTGTTGTTGTTTTTTTTTTAAACAAAATAAAATACATTGTTAATTTTAAAACAGTTTTTATCGACCTTTCTCACTCAATTTAGTTTGTTCCACTAATGTTCCTCCCTACAATAACTCACCTTTTAATAGATGAAACGGGAAAAGGAGGAAGTTAAGAGTAAATATAAACAGGAAATAGAAATCTCAGCACAAAACATGTTTTTAACTTGAACAGAACAAGAAAAAAGACTTAATACTGATGGACAAAAGGAAACAATGGGTAAAAGAGACATTTGAGAAAATAAAAAACGACAGAAACAGAAATCTAGAAAATCTATAAGCAGTTAAATTGTTGATGGAGACAGATATGGATCATTTTATAAATCTTCAACAGAAAGCATCCAGAAGAGAAGATCACACAGTAAAACAACAGTGCAGCACAAGCCTCATCAGGGGAAGGAACAGAACCATAAAACAAACAATATCCAGAAACTGATATAAAGCCAGTATCAAGTATTAGTTTTTATTTTACACAACTGACGTTTCTGATTAGTGTCATAACAACAACCTTAATTATTTTGTGTTGAAAATTACAATTTTATTATATATTATATTAAAATCTAGTTTGGTTTAATAACAAAATGGAGACTGACAAAAATGTGTCTTACCTTGTGAATTAAAACATGATTAAAACATGTAAGAATGTGCGCACCTTTTTGCCTTTTATTATCGTGTTCTCACTCCTCCCTGCATACAGCACACACAGGCTTCCTCCTCAAAGTGCTGATAAGAAGAGCAAGATGAAATGCAAGCAAACACTAATCTAAATTTATGTTACAGTGTTGGCACAAAGCAGGACAACAGCACAGAGCAGATCTACGGCCACATGTGGCTGTAGTTTGCCTTGGTTTTTTGGTCTTGTCTCAGTCTCGACTTTTAAAAGTCTTGGTCTTATCTCGGTCTTGGTCTCAATTAGTGCGGTCTTGACTACAACACTAGTTTCCCCTTAAGCGTGAGCTGTATTTGTTTGTCTCTGTTGTGAAGTTGCCTGTCTCAAACAGCACCAAACAGCTGAGCATAAATCATCCACTGTAGCAACTTTCCCCCAGATCAATAACAGACGTGAGGACACAACACGACTAATGTCAGTAAAGTTTGTGAATCTATCAGTAAACTGAAGTTGAATATTTACTATTGTGTAGGTTTACATGAGCCTACATAATTAACACATTTACTTCCTCAATAACAAACAGACAGTTCCCATTTACCAGCAGAGAAATCCCCTTCTGCCTCGTTGTGATGTCACCAGCAGACTTCAGTCTGATTCAGACTTTTGGTCTGTTGTTAATTGCAGCATAAAGTCTGGAAAGGAAAGACTAAAAAAGGAAAGAGAAAAGGAGCTGCAGCAGCAGCCCATCTCCTGGATGAAAACAAAGCCAAATGAAAATGAAACGTCAGAGTCAAGACCAGAGTCATGTTCAGTGTTTAGGGCCTTTTAAAGATCTGGTTGAACTGTTCCTCAAATTTTATTGAAATATCTTAAAAGCTGTCCACATTTTTATTTTTAAGTACACAAAGTGTTTTGGTGGTACTAAATCAGGCATTAAGCTATAAGAGCTCTTATTTTAGAGACCAATCATAAGTTATTTCTATATTAAAGACTTGCAGTGATCCTGTTTTTCCTTAATCTATAATAAGGCAGCTGCAGTTCCACCTGCCCCCAAAATGCCTGTGCACAACACTGCATGTGAGAATGTGGTCAGTTAACAACTTGAACTTGAAATGTCAACTTGACTTGACATTTCAAAGTGGTTACGATCTGACACTGACAAAACTCATGAGGAGCGCAGCGGGTTCAAAATTGCACACAAAAACACAAAGTCGGGTTCTGTCTCCAAAAGTGTCTTATTACAATATGAAGAGTGAAAGAGCTGGTCGTAAAACTAGTCTTAATCCCACTTCCCACTTAAATCTGAAAGTTATGACCAGTCCATGCTATGACTAGCAGCGAGCGAGTGGCCCAGGTCCCAGCGGCAGGTCTGTATCTGTGTGTCCACTGCTCTGGTCTGATGAGCAGTGTCTCTCCTGTGTGGAGGTTTAGGCTAAAGTAGCTGCTATTAGCCGGTGTGTGAATCAAAATAAGAGCCGTAGGATTTCACCGCAGCCAGATGCACTCATTCCAGCTTAATGCGTCTTTTCTTGCTTGGCACAAGGGTCTCGCTGAAGAGAAGATATTTTACTCCCTAAAACTGTTCCTCGGATGCACTTTGACTTGAAGTTGAACTGTCCATACGTGTTCAGCACACAGCTCTGTTGTTCTCCATTCATGAGCCTACAGCAGTAAGATGGCGCCAGTGCAGAGTTGGGGGTGTGTGGGACTGAGTGAGCAGCTGAATCTCAATAGGTTTGAA